ATGCGCTCTCCCCAAAAACAAAAAAGGGGGGGGGGGGGGGGGCAGAAACCCTCATATTTATAAGATTATTAAAAATACTACAATTTAAAGATTTTTATGGCAACAACAATACCTGCACCCAAACCAAGAAGAATTAAAACCTGTCTCATGATTATAATGGGTGAGCATTTATTTTACTTGGCCTAAGATTTTACAGAGGTTGGTCCACTGTGAGAATTTTGTTAACATAGAGATTGTTCAAAAAACCCCAATATATTTAAGTATTTAATCTGCCTCTAGGAGGCAAGGGACAGGGAAAAAAGAGAATACAGGGAAAGAAAGGAAGAAAGTTTGTATCTGTGGAGGAGAAGATTAAACACAAGCATCTCACAGATGAGATGGTGAGGTCCCACAGATGCATGAAACAGTCAGATGACATCGTCAGATGAAGCCAAAAATACAAAGGTGTCAGGGAAGCACTGCCCCAGACCAGCTTCCTGTCTGTGACTTTGATCAGGCCTCAACATTTTTAACATTCATTATTCTTTTGCCAAATATCTCTAAAATCAACTGGCAAAGTCTCCCTTTTCCCTTCCATTCGGTTTTATTACTGTCAAAGGCTAGGACTAGGTCTACCAAGTACATTGCCATCTCCAAATACTGGAAATAGATGAGGCTGCACTGTATCACAAGATAACAAAGTGTAGTCTTCCTGGCTGAGTCTGTAATTATTTCACAATCACATAACCTGACAAACCTCAGGGTCCTTTGATCCAGCCTGTTTTCTAAGCACGCAGAAGCTTCTGTCTACTTGCTCTTGTCTACTTGTCTACTTTTGGGCAGCACTAGAGTGGAAGTTTGGTTTACAGTCTTTTCTCCTTTTCCTATGGAGTAGGGATGTGCCTGAGAAATCATCTCCTTGAGTCTGCTGATCAAGATACATGTTACCTGTTGGCCCAAAGTGTACTGGATCTTCCAGTAAATTTGTAACGTTATGTTAAAATGAAGTTGCAAGTAAACAACTGAAAGCTAGGAAGGTAATATATTAAAGTAGTCAGTGAGATAAGGTACTTTAATTCCCTGATCCTCATGGAAAGGTAATGGAATCCCATCCTTATGTGACCCTTAGCTGAGTAGCTCAGCATTTTGCTAGTTTCTTTGTTTATCCCATGACCATTTGGGGAGCTCCCATTACACATTGACCTGATCAGGTATTGACTTCACTCTGCATGGTTGTGCATGAGAATGGGTCATTAATCTGTTGAAAAGTTGGAGTGACTCACCTAATTGGCAAACAGATGCTGCTTATGGTTTAGTGATTAGATTAGATGTTAGGAAGAAATTCTTTACTGTGAGGGTGGTGAGACACTGGAACAGATTGCCCAGAGAAGCCGTGAATGCCCAGTCCCTGAAAGTGTTCCAGGCCAGGTTGGATGGGGCTTGGAGCAACCTGATCTAGTGGGAGGTATCCCTGCCCATGGCAGAGGTTGGAACTAAATGATCTTTAGGATCCCTTCCAGCCCAAGTCATTCTATATTTCTATTTTTCTATACTATCTTGGGCTCCTATTGAATTGTTTACCTTTGAATGTTCTTGTTTTTTTCATGCTTTAAAACCTTCAGGGAAGTGGCATCAAGGTGTGAATTGTGAATCCTTCAATGATCACTGTCACCATCCTCTGAATCATGGGTTTGACTATTTTTATGGTATGCCTTTGACACTTCGAAACGACTGTCAAGTAAACAAACCTCCAGGGCTGGGTGCTGCCCTTGAAGCCAAGCTTTGGCTTTACAGTCAGATTGTTACCCTTGCTGTGCTCACTCTCACTGCTGGAAAACTGACTGGTTTGGTTTCCATCCGCTGGAAGATAATTGCTTGTTTTACTTTGATGGGTGGCCTTCTCTTAATTTCTTGGTACTCCAGTTATGGCTTTGTGCGGTATTGGAACTGCCTCCTGATGAGGAACCACGATGTCACCGAGCAGCCGATGCGCTTAGAGAGGACTGCTTCCCTCATGCTGAGGGAGGCAGTGTCATTTATCAAAAGGTAAATGATTGTCTCTAGTTTCCTTTAAAGGAATCAGGATGTTCTGGGCACTCAGAACAGAGTATTTTCCTTTAGTGTCTATGGCTGTATCATGATAACTGCTTTGAAACTGATATCCAAGTTCCCTATTTAGAAACTCGATGCACTTAGATTTTAATTGCAACTGTCTCACATTGGAAGATACAGTAAATAAGAGAGATTTTAACCAAATGACACATGACTATTTCACTGTCTACTGTAATCTGTAATTACCATATTTACTCCAAGATGAACCAGCTAATTTTTACACGTCTCTCTACAAGCTTCATTTGTGGTCTTTTTCATAAACCCTGGAAAACACCTAGAAAAAAATGTGTGTGATGCACAGAATTATTTCATGTGAAAATCTCAGAACACTTTATGTAACATCTTTTTTATTGAGAGGGACGCAAAAAAAGATAATTAATTTTCTATATTCAAGTTCTGCCTGCACAGCCTTGTATATTTCTGTGCACCAAGTGCCTTTCCATAAAACAGGGAAAGTAACTATTCTTTTTTTATAGTTTGTGAAAACTAATGTACTGAAATTTTAAGTATAGTATCTTAGAAAGACTATATGAATATTAAAGTAAATATGAGATTCTATCTGGTTGGATTTAATTTAAAAAGCATCAGAATTAAGCATCTTGATTAACTTAAGCAATGTGAAATTTCTATGCCTGTTTACACATTGGAATTTGAAAATAACCTGGCTTAAAAGATCTTTCTTGCTCATAATTAATAAAAAAACTCTGTCAATTGTGATAATTGGGAATGCACTGGGTGTGGCTACAGTTTAGACCCAATGTGTGTGTCCGTGTGTTGATGAGTATGACATTTTCCAAAACTCCAAACACACAACAAAAAATGTAATTATATTTGGTTTCTTTTTAAGGAACAGGCATGGACCATTCCTCCTCTTCGTTTCCTTTTTACATGTTCACACACCCCTCTTTACTACACCAGAATTTCTTGGTAAGAGCCGTCATGGTTTATATGGAGACAATGTAGAAGAAATGGACTGGATGGTGGGTAAGTATTCTTCATAAAGAATTTGTTTCAGACACATACACCTGTGTATTTTAAAGTAGGAAAACTAAGAAGGTCAAAATACCCACAGGAATCTGAGCTATTAAAAACTTCCTATAGGACATTGCAAAATATTATTGAAACATTGCAGATGTGGCTTCATCTTTCTAAGTGGCTAATAGAAACCTTGTCCCTCTTCTTAAATTTAAGGCAAAATTCTGGATTCACTTGACAAAGAAGGTTTGAAAAATCATACATTAACCTACTTTGCCTCTGATCATGGAGGACACTTGGAGGCTCAGGATGGATCTGCCCAGTTAGGTGGCTGGAATGGTATTTATAAAGGTAGGAAAAGGACTATGACTTGACACGAACATTAGATTCAGAAACATAATGTATTTGCCTGGCTGTAGCTATCAAGGTTGGAATGAGTTACATTTTCAGCTTGAAATATAGGTGACATACAGAGGTGCTTTAATCTTAAATTCACCTTTTCTTTCAGTAAAGTGAAAGCATTATTACATATCTCCTTGACAAAGGTATTGTCCAGCTTGATACCTGTAAATTGTTCAGTGTTTTCAAGCAAAAGACACCAGGAAAAAAATGTGATAGTTCCCTATATTGATTTTTTTCTCTTTCAAGCTTTTCTTTCTCTCTTCACAATAGGACTGTTTCCTGATGTGCTTGGGGATTTTTTCCTTATTATATTCCACAAATCATTGCTGCCCAGCTAATCAATACAGAATAGAGTAAGGGCACATTGTATCATGACTTGTATCAACAATTTGTTTCCTTAGTGTTTTTATATTCCATGCAAAATCAGTAATAAAATCCAAATAGCCTTGGTGGCCTAAATAGGATTTTGCTCTTTACCTTCTCGTTCCTTTCTTTTGTGAATAATTTTTCAACCTGCTGAGCAGTGTAGTGGCTTTTTTTCAAGCCAAAAATAATATGTATTCATTGCATTTTCTCCCATCTACCCCAAGAGCCCTGTATCATCAAACCACTTCATCCTGTTACCTGTCATGAACATGTGACAGTATGTGTCAAGGCTTAATCTCTGTTATCACCAGGGAACCATCCACCTCTTTTTTCCTAAAACAGGTTTTTTCCATTTCAAAACCTTCTTGACCTGCTCCACAAGGTGTAGTGGAAGTCAAAGACATGGAATTTGGCTCCCATGAGGTGGATGCTCCACTGCTGAGCAGTGGAGGTTGCTGACCCTTATGAAAGGGAAGGGTTTTTTGGCTAGTCTATTCATCCTCTATCTCACTCCCTGCTTTTTCTTGAGAAAGTACATTTGTTTGTGAATGATAACTGATCTAACAAAGACAATGTTTTTTTTTACCATATTGAATATATGAACAAAACATGTTTCTGCTTGGGGAATTAGGTATTTTCTTCTTACACACAGCATCAGGATTCTTCATTAGTTTAGTTTCTGTTAGTAGAAAGCTGAGAAAAGATGTTTTCCTGCCATTTGAAGTAAAAGGTATATATGGTACAGGTACAATTTCACAGGTTCAGATTTTTTGCTTTTGAGTTAAGAGATGTTGCATTGAGCACTGGGAGAGTCAGGTTCAATCTCAGAAAAGATGCACAAGTTATAAGGAAATATAAGTGTTAAGGACTCAGATTTTGAAGGGACCCCATGGCTATAAAGAGAATTTATTTTTTTTTCTGTATACTAAAATGGGATTCTAATTAGTAAGTCTTGTGTATGTTGAAAGAGACTAACAAGTGTTTCTTTAGTCTTGAGTTCTTGCAATTTCTAGTTCAAATTTCCCACTATGTTTTTTTTGCTAGGAAGCTCTTCAGTAACACAGGTGAAGGCAGGCAACTCATAAAATGGAGAATAACAAAAAGTTGAAGCTGTGTTATTGTTGCTAAATATAGGTTTTCAAAGGTAGATTTATTATTCATACCCTCACTTGTGTCAAAATATATATTACCTCCTCCTAGCTTTCTAGTTTTGGATGAGTTGTGTGTCATATTTTCAGGCCTTCTAAAGTATGTAAATGAAGAGTCTAATGTGTTGGATAAGCAGTGTGTTGCTGCATCTTTTTCTGTGCATTTGAATGCAACAAGCCAATGAAGAGTATTTTCCCTTGAACTACCATATGTTGCTTCATTTCACTGCAGGTGGAAAAGGCATGGGAGGCTGGGAAGGAGGAATCCGTGTGCCAGGAGTATTTAGGTGGCCAGGAGTGTTACCTGCAGGCACAGTTATTGATGAGCCTACAAGTCTTATGGATATTTATCCCACACTTATTCATTTGGCTGGAGGAATATTGCCACAGGACAGGTACGGAGATGTTTTCTGCAGCAGAGATTGCTAGGAGAGCTAAACACTAAAAATGTACTGTGTATCTTATAATCCTTAGAGATCCCACAAATGTTTCTTAGCCTTAAGCCTTCTCTGAGACTTTAAACTAGTGACCAAAGACTCTCAGAGGTGCTCATGGCGTTGCTTCTGTCAAAGACCAGGTGCTAGTTTGAAACCCAGATTCAGCCTCATTCAGGAAAGGTGGTTTGAGGTGGTTTTGGTACTGACTGACTTGACTTATGGACACTTACAAACATCTCCTGAAGTCCCATAAATAAACCCATCCTTGCTCAACAGATTTCTTTACAGCCCTTTGAAAATTGCTAAATGTAAACAATTACAAGATTGGTATTGATTACCTGAATAAATTACTTCAACCCAGTAGACCAAGCTCTAAATAGTGTTTATGTATTGCTAAGTGGACTGAGTTGACCCAGCTATTGAAAAAATTAATATTATCTCAGGATTTAAATATTGGCTTGGTAATCTCCTGGCTGCTCTAAATTATGACCAAATTATTCCATATGCTATCTCAGGCACTGATACAGCCAATGCAAAGGCAGTGATAAATATGCAGTTCACTGTCATGTTTTCTCCTGCCTGAATATGCTTCTCTCTATTACACTAGGGTGATTGATGGGCGAAATCTGGTGCCTTTACTGCAAGGAAGAGCTCAGAAGTCAGAGCATGAGTTCCTGTTTCACTACTGCGGGTCTTACCTGCATGCAGTGCGGTGGCACCAAAAGGACAGTAAGTCTAAATATTTGTTCTGTGGTAACTGCAAGACATGATTTTTCTCCTCTTGATAGCTGTCTTGCTAACTGACAAACTTCTTGCATGATGGCTGTTTATTGGTACTGATTTCTGAGACTCTTGAAATCATTGTGCATGACATACCAGTGACTCTGGCTAGCTGGAGGTTTATTACAGCAGGTAAATATTTGTAACAAAGTGAATGCATTATAGGAAGGGAAGTGGGAATAAAGGCTGTCTACTGCTGCACTGGAAAATTCAACATAGAATCATTTAGGTTGGAAAAAACCCTTAAGACCATGAAGTCAAACCATAGACCTAACAATGGCAGCTCCACTACTAAACCACATCCCTAAGCACCATGATTATATAATTTTTAAATATCTCAAACACTTCCCTGGGCAGCCTGTTCCACTGCTCCACAATCGTGTTTTTCTTCATATTTCTATTGTTTTATATGTTCAGAGTTAGTACTCCACATAAAGAATCTAATCTGTGGTGATGGGGCTGTCAGAGTGTATGAGAAGAGGTCTCCTTAGTAAACAGCTGTACTCTTATTGCTTGAAGGCAATTTCCATTTTTCCTTTATTGTCTTGTAGTTATGCCATAAGATTTCTTTCCTGCCAGGTGGAGCCATCTGGAAAGCTCATTATGTCACCCCTGTCTTTCAGCCCCCTGGGGCTGGGGCTTGTTATGATAGAGGAGTCTGCCCATGTTTTGGGGAAGGTGTGACCCATCATGACCCTCCGTTGCTGTTTGATCTCTCACGAGACCCTTCGGAAGCCAAACCTCTGTCGGCTGACACCGAGCCCCGCTTTGACATGGTGATAAAAAAGATTGGAAGAGCCATAGAAGAGCATCACAGGACACTGACCCCTGTCCCAGAGCAGCTCTCCTTCTCCAATGTGGTGTGGAAGCCGTGGCTGCAGCCGTGCTGTGGGACATTCCCGTTCTGTTGGTGTGATAAGGAAAATGACAGCACGCAAAGTTTGTGAGATGGATTTCTACTAACATATCCCGTGGCACTGAGTCTTCTGCTGACAAAGCTTTCAGGACATAATTGTGTCCTTTCTCTCTCTGGAAAGGAAAGTGAACAAAATTTTTAAAAATACAAATAAAAAAAAAAGGGAAAAAAAAAAAAGGAATATCAATCAGAGATTTTTCCCCTTCATTCTTCACCACTCAACAAAGGTCTAAAGAAACCCTGCCTGGCGTGGCAAAGGGCTTCCATGGAGACTGGTTTTACAGATTTGTGTGTAAGAGACAGCTGTAAAGGTATATGCCTAAACTCTGCCTAATCTATGCCTGCTCAATGAACACAGTTGGAGAACTCTGCAGACAGCCTAGTGGATGGTGCTGAGCAGGCAGCAGTAAGAAATACCAGACTTAGGTAGAATTCTACGTACGTGTAGTTGTGCCCCTATAGTTCACAAATCATGGTTGTGCTCTACCCAAACGTAGTAGTTTGTGTCATTATTACTTCCTGTACTTCTCTGTTATCACTGCAGTAATCTTGTTGAGAGTTGAGCAATACCTGAGAGAGAGGTAATCTGATTTAGTGAGGGATTGTCTTCAACTTGTGAAAAGCTTTTTGAACAGATCTGCAGCTTTAGCTGCATAATAACATATATCACAGACAGTATGAAGTACAAAATGTTCAAGTCCAGTAAAGCTCTGCAACAGTTACAAAGGAGAGAGAAGCAGTCTGCTCTCCAGAAAGAAGTTGTGGTGCATGCTAATTTTGCAAAAGCAGTTTTATTGCATATCAGATGCCAATAAAAAGTGTTTAATAGTTTGCACTGCTTCAATTTCAGTTCTAGAAAAATAAGGCTCATTTGACAGTCACAGTGGAATTAATGCTCAAAAAATATTTGGTAGTTGTATATATAGGTTTACAAACTACAACTTGTAAAAAAGAGATCTTGCCAATACTAGTTTGGAAAAACAAAATCCAGCCAAACAAAACAACCTGCAGTGGTATGACCCTAGGCAGACATTCTATGGAGACATGACTTTGCACTAAATATGTTCTGAGATTTTAGGGCTTTCAAATGTGTTAATGGCTATAGTTTTACAGGAATAGTTGAAGTCAGAGTTTAGTATAAGCCAGCTGCTCTAAAGAAATTGGGGTTTGAATTTCATAAATGGAAAAAAATTATTCTAGTTTGGTTTTGTTGGGCTTTTTCCCCTTCCCTGAATACCCCTGCAAACATTTTACTTGCTCAAACAGTTTAGCTGATTAATGCTTTTCTTCTTAGTGTTTTTTCCAAGTGGGACATAGGAACAATTTTACAAAATGTTGTTTGTGTCATTACAACGTTTATGTTCTTCATTACCAAAAAGGTCACCCAGAAAACTTGTCAAAGGTAGAAGGGACTACTGGGATACCAGTGTTTGCTTTTAGTACTCAGATGTGTGAAAAGCCAGATAGAAGTGGCAGCAGAAAACAAACTGACTAAAAAGGTAAGTTTTGGCTGGCTGAGAGTTTGCCAGTATGCAACAGGGGGCAAAGAACAACATCCTGTGCTCAGGCACAATGCAAAATAGGTTAGCTGAAGAGGAGGAAATGTTGCAGGGTTCAAAGTGCAGAGATAAAAATAATCTCCTTTCTGCTCAATTGTTACAAATCTCTTTTTAAAAATAAATAAATCTTGATTTAAAGCTTAGTTCTGTTGAAGACAATAAGTAATCACAGCTATTGTCTCTGTACTGTGTCATTAGTGTAGTGGTGAGGAACAGGATGCAAGGTCTGTACTAGCAGAATGACTCCTCTGCTCCTGCACATCTTCAGTAGTGATCAATTTGTGAGAAGGACGTAAACAGTCTAGAAAGGCTGAAAGAAAAGTTTAGTTGTAATCTGGACCAAAGACAGATGGAGATCAGTAGTTACTTTACTGGCAACTTTTAAGGATCCACCTTTTCAAAGCATGATGTGCATTTTGAAAAATAGATTTTTTTCAATAAAAATCTTTGCACTAGAAGCATCATAAGCTGTTAAGTATTCATATAAGTATTATAGTAAAAAGGGTGTGAATAAAAGTAGCCCAATTTGACAACTTATATCTTATAAAAAATACTGAATATAGATACAAGTGCAAGGAGGTCAACAAAAAAAAAACAAACCTGCCTCCAACCCTGGTTATTATGTGAATATGATAGTTTAAGCTGCTTCATCTTTCAACCTCACTGACTCCCTAGAGAACAGAGTTAAATTCAGCACTCAGTGTATTCAAGCAACTCTGAGAACAGAAATGTCAGCAAATGGGTAGATGAGAGCTCCTCCAAGAAATCTTTCATGATCTTTTGAAGGGTAAAATACATTAGAAGGGAGTTCTGAAAGAAGTGTGAAGGGATGGGGGAATACTGAACTTTCAGTTCTTGGGGTTGGGGGAAGAAAGTGCAGCAATATCTTCAGCATAAGTAGGTCTGCTTTCTCTGAAAATGAAATAAAGAAGAAAAGACAACATGACAGAAGAAAAGCAGAGGACAAACTAGCCCTGTTATCCTGCCTGGAAGGATGGAAAAGCAGGGTGGTAGAAAAAAAGCCCCAGAGCTATTATTGTTATTTCTAGCATCTCTTTGGAGCCTTTGAAATAGAGCAGTGTCAGGCTTTATGCAAATCTGCACCTGATTAACTGGATAGGGAATCTAGAAAAGGCAGTAGCCACGTTGTGCCAGTAGTTCAAGAATACGGACTTTGTACTCAGCCCGGAATTCATGTAAAACCTGTACAGCAGTTCCAGTTTGCTGGCTGTTGCTGGCAGGGATCCCAGGCAGAGTCTGTGCTGGAGAGAGGGGGAGGGGAGAGGGAGAGGAGAAGGAACAATTTCCAGCCTACTTCCTCCCACACATGGCTTAGAGGATCAGAACTGCTCTGCACACACAGGGATTTACAGAGCAAGAAGAATAACTGAGACGAGGGTTTGTTTTCCACACTGTTAAAAAAGGTTGACCTTTCTTATTTGTCTTGATGATCATTTCTTGTGGTGTACTGGCTTGCAGAGGAAAATAACATCTAATGTTTTCTTACATTTCTGTAAGTAACCCTGCTGATTTCTAGAGGCTGATGTTAGATTTATGAATTAAATTGTTGGGTTTTTTTCATCTAACAGCTAAGGAAGCTGGACAAGCCCTAGGGCCCTGTACTGGGTTCATCACATTCTGCTGTCAGTGAGAGCTCTGCTTTCAGAAGGAATCAGCCCCTAACAGAGAAATATGAATATCTGTATTTAAATTGTTTTATTAACAAGTCCTTCTGTAAGGGTAATGCTTCTAAAATGGCTTGCAGTAAATCAGATTTAATCATGCTACAACCTGCAGTATTAAGACCCGAATATCTTTTACTTTCACCATGCACCTCACTGGTTTGAATTCACAGCTTTCCCAAGGGGCTGGACAAAGTCTCTGTCTAAATACCAATGTGCCTCCTGGGGCTGTGCTGCATCAGCCTGCAGGGAGAAAGTGAAAGGCAGTAGAGCTGTTGTACCAGCTTGGAAAGCTTAACAATGCCCACGGGAAATCAAGGGATTTCTTAGGTGTCCAGACTGATCTGCTTTACTGCAGCTCACAAGGGCTGATGATCCTCAGCTACTCAGCATAGGCTGCAAATGTTTTCATTGCAATAGTTTAAGCTTAATGCCCAAGCCCTCTAACCACACTTGTTGCCCTACCAGTTGCTGGGAAGGCAGAGCTCTGCATCCGTTATTAAAGCAGCAGAAAGAAATTCCCATCATAGATAAAGACCAGAGCCATTGATAATTCTGCCTTCTAACAGGTAAATGCCTTTGTGCGCTTGTCTGATCGTCACCTCAGCTCTGTCCTATGGGCCATAGTTCATCAGGTCTTCAGGGCAATAGTTGCCAGGCTGTGATTCTGAGGCACCACTGCCTTATAAAAAAATATGTGAGCTGCTAGTAATGAGCCCTTTGCTTCACATTAATACAGCCTGGTTTTTACAGTCTGATGTTAGGCTTCTGCCTTGCATTTGCAGCAAGGTCCTGCTTCAACAGCCAATGCACTAGGCCAGAGGAATCTTCCTGCTTCTCCATTAATCTCCAGCTCAGCCAGTGGGTGGGGAGGATGAGCTCCTGGTGCTGCCTTTCAGGATCCTGCCAACAGAGAGGGGAAGCATCATCAATGCAGTGGAAAATTCCATGCCTAATAGTGGTCAAGTTTTTATTATTTTTTTTATATTTTTTTTAATTATTATTTTTTTTAATTTCCCATATTGTCTCAAGCAAACAAGCACTTAGATGTTATTTGGAAAAAATAATCAATGGGCCCCAGGTTCTGTCATTTTTGTACTATTTTCCTGGTCAAAATAACAGCATGTGCATTTTTTTTATCCTATGGCTCATTCTTTGAAATGCATAGGGCAGGTTTATACTCTGTTCTGGCCAGGTTATTATTCCTCAGACATTCGAGGTAACTGTTACACTCCTACGTATCAAAAAAGCAGAAAAAAAACTGTCTCAGATAATGTTAAATTTTTTTCCTCAAGAGAACATGGTGATTTGGGGAAAAAAAGCTCACAGTCATTTATGAATCCAGATAGAACTTCAATTTCTCTGTGTTAAGAGACAAAGTTTACATGTTTACAAGGTGTTTTCAGTTCTTAAGAAAGTATCTTTCTTAGTATTAGTCTGTTCCTTAACATCTTTGTTCTTGTGCTTGTTTGAAATGGAAAGAAGTGTGGAAAAGTAGGGATTTTACATGGACGGGGTATTTCAGATTTGTATGATGTTATTTGGAAAAAATAATCAATGGGCCCCAGGTTCTGTCATTTTTGTACTATTTTCCTGGTCAAAATAACAGCATGTGCATTTTTTTTATCCTATGGCTCATTCTTTGAAATGCATAGGGCAGGTTTATACTCTGTTCTGGCCAGGTTATTATTCCTCAGACATTCGAGGTAACTGTTACACTCCTACGTATCAAAAAAGCAGAAAAAAAACTGTCTCAGATAATGTTAAATTTTTTTCCTCAAGAGAACATG